CAGACCTGCCATTTTTACAAATCTTTGATCAATGTCTCTACTGAGCCAGACGCCACTGCATGGCTTTCCTCTGAAAATTATTAAAGGACAGAATCCAAATAAATGAAGAAAACACCTCTCCCTGTCTTTTAAAAAAAGATGTTTGATCGTCTTCATAGCACTTATCATTGTCCAAAATTGTCCCATGTTGCCCAGAAAAGTTAAGATTCTTGGTATTTATAAAACATACATGTTACTCTACACTGTTAACAACAAAAACACATATACAAAACAATTATGTAATTTCTTCCAAATTACCGACACAACTTCCTCTAAAAATATGAGCTACTCAAGCGAGTGTTTCTCTCTTTGCTTCTAGTACCTAGCACAGTTTACTGCTCGGAGGGAACTGGTCTTGTTTATGTGTAGTAGGTAGAGTTTGTGTGATTTGGCAGATGACCCTCCCGTGTACTTAATGAACAACCCAATTTGGCTTGATTTTAAACATTTTTAAATGTTTCCAGGAGCTTGAAATCGTCATTGGAGATGAACACATTTCTTTCACAACATCAAAAATTGGTTCCCTCATTGATGTCAATCAATCCAAGTAAGTGTACATGATCTGTATGTCCAGATGTGTCTGTTTTGCAGCAGATTGATATGAAACCCTTAAACAAATTGGGACCATATGGTAAGATCCGGTACAGATGGAGAGAGGCTCTAAATTATTTTCAAGACTTGCTCCTATTGCTTTTGACCTTTTGTCCAGTTATCTATAACTAGAGGCTCAGTGCACAAAATTTGTGCGGGGCGGGGGCGGGGGGGGGTCCCCTCAGCCCGGCCTGCACCCTCTCACAACCCGGGACCGCTGGCTCCTAACCACTCTGCTTGCCTGCCTGATCACCCCTAACCCCTCTGCCTGCCTGCCTGATTGCCCCAACCCCTCTGCCTGCCTGATCACCCCCACCATGACGGCTTCGTCTGGAAGGTCGTTTGGCTGTGTGGTCTAATTAGCATAAAAGTATAATATGCTAATTAGACTGGGCAGCCAAATGACCTTCGGACGAAGCTGGGGCTGCAAGGGCTGAGTCCCTTGCACGAATTTTGTGCATCGGGCCTCTAGTTACTAATAAGAGCTTCTCAGTGACACACACAGTAATGCCATTGGAGCAACTAGTGTGGGTAAGAATCTGTCCAGAACAGAAAAATGAAATATGCCAATACAAGTGCTTAAGATAAACTGTAGAGTCGTTAAGTCTAACTACCTTCCTTGATGTTAGTCATTCAGACTAGCACATCTTAAGGTCTGATTTGGGTGAAACTTGAAATTGTTTGGAATATAAATTTAAAAATTCATGTCAGGAGGGCAAATTATAAAGTATGCTGCGAAAAAAAAAGTATAAAAAAGTATGCTGCGGAGTCCTCAGAATTTGAAAATCTCTTTGGCTCCTGTGTTCTGGGCATTTGGGATTAGACATGGCTCACTTTTAGTACATGGTGGGCATAATTGTCTTCCTTTGACAGTCTCTATTCTTAGCCAGTTATGCTGTAGTAACCTTCAGCCTCTTGATCCTGACTAGTACTACTTCTTAAAAAAAAAGTTTTCCTAATTCTGAAACTTACACATGCTCATTATGGAAAATAAAGGAAACCTAAAAATGTAAGGGGAAAATCACCGATAAACCTGTCAATTAGACAACCATTAATACTGTAAAGTATTTTTTAGTATGTTTTTATGGATTTCAGAGAGGAAGGAAGAGGGAGAGAGAGAGAGAAACATCAATGCTGAGAGAGAATCAGTGTTTGGCTGCCTCCTACAAGTAGCACAGTGGGCATGGAGCCTGCAACCTGGGCATGTGCCCTGACTGGGAATTGAACCCGTGACCTTCTGGTTCATAGGTCGATGCTCAACCACTGAGCCATGACAGCTGGGCTTAAAGCAGCGGTCCCCAACCTTTTGGACCTCACGGACCACCAGTGATCTGAGGACCACCAGTTGGCGACCACTGGCTTAAAGTATTTCTTTTTTCTGAGCATTAAAAAATATAGTTTTTAAAGGCACTGAAAAATCTTTAGACCAATAATGTTATTTGAATGATTTTTTTTCATTTAATATAAATATTTCCCCAATTTTTAAAACCTTAACATTTTAAATGACCTCATATTCCGTTTTAACATGTAGCATGTAGCCTTTTCCTCCCTTTTTGAACTCTGATTTCAAAGTTTTAATTCTGTAAATACCTTTATGAGTAATGCCTTGGTACATAATTTGCGTTAAGTGGTATTATCTTGCCAGTTGTCTCTGCTTTTTAAACATTTTTTTCCTTTTGCATTTTAGGGACCCAGAAGGCTTACGAGTATTTTATTATCTTGTCCAGGACCTGAAGTGTTTGGTCTTCAGTCTTATTGGATTACACTTCAAGATTAAACCAATCTAGATTGAATATTGGTGTGGACACTAGGGGGGTGGGAGTAGCTGGTTTTCATTACCATTATCAAGAAATTTTTGTGTATAGAAGGCCAATATTTTTTTTTATAAACTGTAAATGATTGTCTTCAATAAATATATAACAAAATGCAATTATTATTTTATAGGGACTTCTAAACGTGTGAACTCTTTTCAATTACTTTTTTTAAAATCCTCACCTGAGGATATGTTTTTATTGATTTTTAGAGAGAGATAGAAACATTGATGCAAGAGAGAAACGTCAATCAGCCACCTCCTGTACGTGTCCCAACGAGATCAAAACCACAACCTAGATGTGTGCCCTGACCAGGCATGGAACCCACAACCTTTTGGTGTATGGGATGACCCTCCAAACTGACTAAGCCACCCAGCCAGAGCCCAATTTTTAAAACACTAACACCCTGTGTAAGGTATTGCCCCAAAATCTAACTGAATCGACTCTGTAGATAAAAGTACCAATTCATAGGAAATAAGAAAATATAACCCTGGCCTTATAGCTCAGTTGGTTAGAGTATTGTCCCAATATGCCAAGGTTGCAGGTTCAATCCCCACTCAGGGCATATAAGAATCAACCAATGAATGCATAACTAAGTGGAACAACAAATTGTCTCTCTCCCCCTTCCAATCTCTCAAATCACTAAATAAAAATGAAAATAGAGAAACATGTTAAAAAATACAGTGGGAGTCCAATCAGCAATATTCAGAGAAAAGTCCAGGGAAAGGGATTTGGTTGCTTCAATAAAACATAAGATACAGATGGAACATGAAGCTATAGGTTAAAGGAGAGTTAAGAGACTCATAATGCAATGTTTGGATCCCATCTGGATCATGATTCAAAAAATTTTAAATTGACATTACAGAAATTTGAACGCTGGATATTTGATATTAATGAAATAGTCTTTTTAAGGTGTAAAATGGTATTGTGGTTGGGTTTACTGAGATAACTGAGGTTGGGTTTTTAAAAATCATCTTTTATAGATAAATATTTACAGCTATTTCATTATGGAAGAAACTAATATAAGGGATAAAATACCTAGTATCAGTAAAGTTTTCCTATACATTTAAAAATATTTTTTATTGACTTTAAGAGAGGAAGAGAAACACTCGATCGGTTGCCTCCCTACACATCCCAACAGGATCAAACTGCAACCTGGGTATATATCCTGACCAGGAACCGAATCAGTGCACGGGACAACACGCAGCCAAGCCACACACCAGGCAGGGCTCCAATACATTTTAAAATCAGACTACCGACAGCTATTAACAACTGAGACCTGCCCTAGCTGGTGGTGTGCGCCTGCGGACTGACAGGTTGTGGGTTCAATTCCCGGTCAAGGGCGTGTACCTCCTACCTCGGTTGCAGCTTCCCCAGCCCTGGTAGGGGTGCATGTGGGAGGCAATCTGTGTGTCTCATGCGGATGTTTCTCTCTTCCCCGCCCTCCCCTCCACTCTCTAGAAATCAATGGAAAAAATATCCTCAGGTGAAGATTAAAAAAAAAAAAAAAAAGCTGAGACCTAGTGGGTACAGCTAGTGTGGGAATTTAAGTGAATCTGTAGGAACTGCTGGTTGAATAGATCGTGGGACTGAAAGGAACCAGGCCTTCGTAAGTCGTGTGGCCGAGGGGAAGTGGTTGGGCAAAGCTCCCACCTCCAGACAAGCTCACCTAGGACAGGTGCCAGGTCTGACAGCGGAGCTCCCACCGCGCCCAGCAAACGCACACCCCACTCTGCCCCCGTCAAGGCAACAGGTGGATCTGGGGCCTGAGATGTCCAGGTTCCTGGCTCTACAGGCGGGTACTTGGGCAGTGAGACAACTGGTGGTAAAGTAGGTATGAGAAATAGTCACCCCAAACTTTAACGAAATGACCGGGAGGCGCTCAGAAGGCTATACGCCTTTCGAATGGGCTGTTCTTGGTCAGGCTTACAGCACCTGTATGGGCTCAGATATGCCTCGGACAAGAGGGCAAGTAAAACGAGGTTCCGTAAGTGTATAAAGGATGAACGAGGGGCGCCAGGAGAGCCAGGCTTGGGGACCACAATGAGGACGAGTGCACGGGACCACCCTCTGAAAGCGGATCTCGATGAGGCAAGAGGAAGGAATCGTTAGAGACAAAGGCCCCGAATCTGCGAAGCCGGCCCAGAGGAGGGAGAGCCGACGGAATGTAAGGAGCCTCAGGGCAGGCGGGAAGCAGGCGGGAGGTGGGTGAGGGCAGGCGGAGGGGTGAAGGGCCAGGAGAGCCCAGGACAGGAAGGCTGCTGCGGCACCCCCGCCTGCCCGCCTGCCCGCCTGCGGGCACGGACCCGCGCTCAGCGAACACCCGGACTACTGATAGCTGCAGGCAGGCCACCTGCGACCTCGGGTTGCCTCCGTTTTCTTCGCCTAGAGCAGTGGTTCTCAGCCTTGGCTGCACATTGGAATCACCTGGGAATCTTTTTAAAATCCTGATTTCTGGGCCTCATCCTCCGGAAATTCTGTTTCTTTGTTATGCGGTGGGGCCACAGCATTATAACAAAGAAACAGAATTTCCGGAGGATGAGGCCCAGAAATCAGGATTTTAAAAAGATTCCCAGGTGATTCCAATGTGCAGCCAAGGCTGAGAACCACTGACCTAAAACACCAACAAGCAGCGAAAACCCCGCTGCGCCGGAAGGAGCGGCGCGCGAAGACCCGCCCCCGCGCCCCGCCGTCGCGAGCACAGGCCCGCACGGAGAGTGCGCACGCGGCGCCCACCGTTTGCGACGGGCCGGAAAGCAGCGACCGCAGCCAGCGCCGGGGGAGCCGGGCCGCTATGGGGGTGAGGCGGGAGCGGAACGCTGCCGGGGCAGGGGCGCGGCGGCGGCGTGGATCTGGGATGCGGGCGCTCGCGCCGGGAGAGGATGAGGGGAGCGGGCCTGCGCTGGAAAGGAGCGGAGAGGCCGCGCTCGTGCCGGGGCGGGCGGGCCGGGGCCAGGCGTGGGGCTGCGCAGGCGCGAAATGCAGTCGCTTTGGCCCTCCCTTTCCTCTCAGAAAATCGCGCTGCAGCTCAAAGCCACGCTGGAGAACGTCACTAACCTCCGGCCTGTGGGGGAAGACTTCCGGTGGTACCTGAAGGTGCGGCTGCAGGGGCGGGGCCCCGACGGGGCGGGGGAGGAGCCCCGAGAGGCTGTGGGCACTTCGAGGTTCCGGGAGGGGGCGCCAGAGGCCGGGCCCGGAAAAAGGTTCCCCTACCTGATCTGCGCTTAACCACCAAATGTTTCTTTCTGGGTAGAATTTTATATTTGCTTTTTAAAACTTATTGGCTAATCCTTAATGGACAGTGTCTTGTAATTCCTTTTGTAATTTTTTCTCCGCTAAATATTTCATGGTATGCTAAAGGAAAGGCTGCTTGAAGGGACATTGTGATTCTTTAGTAAGGAGGATAATTTCTCCTGTTTTATTCGTTGATTGGCTTTATTGTGAAATCGTTTAATTCTGTGCATGGCTCCACCCCTGCTTCCCCACCCCATACTGGAAAAGCTGGTTCTGCCCGTGGCGTGGTCTGGAGAGGACCCCTCTCAGCCGAGAAGTCTAAGCCCTTTCACTCTCCCGGATCCCAGAGCTTCTGCTCTTTTCCTTGTAGCCTGAATCTCAGCATCCTTCGGTATTGGCAAAAGCCGCTTCTGCTTCAGGAAGCCTCTGGCCACCTTTAATCCCATATATTTTGAAGACGGAGTGCCAGGGCTTATTGGGGAATTGATGTTCTTTGGTTTCAGAAAGCACAGAGACTAGGGAAGGAGACAGAAAACCAGTAACAACAGAGGACAGACACTTACACCAGGGACGACAGGGCCTGTGGGAACTCAGGAAGCTCTAACCTAGCAGCGTGGATGGGAGGGGGCCGGTTGGGACCGTTTCTGTGCCACACGAGCCTTGAGTCCCCAGCTAACCTGGGCACCTCTTAGAGGAGGGGGGCTGCCAGCAGGAGAAGCACCTTGGCCTGTTATGTCTGGTTATGTCCCTGGTGGGGCTGGTTGTAAGGATGAGGGGAGATTGCTGGCAGGAAGGCAGGGTAGGAGCCTGCCTTCTTACCCTTCCCTCACTGTCTGCCTAACTGAACCAACTACTGATGCTCCTTTCTCTCCCAAGATGAAATGTGGCAACTGTGGTGAGATTTCAGAGAAGTGGCAGTACATTCGGCTGATGGTAATTGCTCCCCCACCACCATACGCCCCCCCCCCCCCCCCACACACACACACACAGGCATCTCTAGGCAGGAATTTGGGGAATCTGTGACCCCAATCTCTCTGGTCTTTGAACCTTGCTTTTTGTGGTTTGGGGGGGCAGGCATTAGTGGGATCAACAATAACAGCCTTCTTTGGGATGTGAGGCAGAGTTCAAAATCAAGGGGAAGCCCTTTCCTTGGTCCTAAGAAGCCTCCCCAGGATTCTTGTCCTAGCAAGTCGCTCACCCTGAGTCTTCGTCTCTTCAGTTGGATAATAAGTGGTGGGACTGGGTCTCTTCAGGACCCTACGTCTGACGGATTTGTGACTAGAGCTTGTGTTTACTCCTTGCCAGGACAGTGTGGCACTGAAGGGAGGCCGTGGCAGCGCCTCCATGGTCCAGAAGTGCAAGCTGTGCTCGAGGGAAAACTCCATTGGTAGGTCAGGCCATGAATGCTGAGCTCTGCGAGGCCGGCCCCTCGCTTCCTGATACCAGACCAGAAGCAGGCTCATGTTACCTGCGGTGCCCAAGCTTCTGCAGCCGACTCTTTCCCAGACCCACATCTGCGGGCTTGGGGTAGGGCCAACGTATGGACTCAAGTCAACTTTGTCCTCTGTTTTATGTTTCAGAGATCTTGAGCAGCACCATCAAACCTTACAATGTAAGTTGCCTGCTGTAGCGGCAGGCATGGTGGGGTTAAATCCAAGCTAGGAGGCCTGGGTTCTAGAGTTATACTAGTAAGTGCTGGGCTGTGGGAGCTCAGGGGACTTCTGATCAAGCTGGCCATTCAGTTTCCATCACTGGGAGCATTTGCCTTATCTACATCCTAGCAGGTGAGCCTTCTCTGAGACCATGGGGGGAGAGTCCTGTGAATGGTCCCTTCCATCCTTGATATTGTCCATATTATTAGGTAGTTATTCATTACTGTATAACAAATTAGTTCAAAGGTGAGGGAGGGTGTATGCGCTTTGGGTCTGTGTGTTTTAAGAGGGGCATTTAACTTCTGTTTATCCATTCCTTATTTGGTATTTTTGAAAAACGTCAGATTCATGCCAGACTTCAGCTTTGTCCTGAAGTTAAAGAGAAATCAAATGAGGACTTGCCTTTAAGAATTGCCTGGCTACACCACCTTAAGTAAATCATAATCTGGTGGAAGAGATAGATTAGCAACCAAAAAACAAACTAGGGCCAGTACACATGGTTGGTGTCCAGGAAATGCTTTTAGAGTGAGTGACAGAATGAGAGCGAACATGTAGGCATGGTGCGTGGGGTCTCTGGGCCCGTGGGTCAGGTAGGCATGAATTTCCTGGCTACACCACCTCGCTCATAGGTGCCTCCCCACAAGCAAATCTCATTTCAAAGGCTTTAAGTCGGCCCCCTGCCTTCACAGCATGGCAGGTGGTTAGCAAAAGGCCGCAGTAGATGTGTGCTGGAGCCGTTTAGATGATCTGGAGACTTTGTAGCTTAACATTTTTGTTCGTATTTGTGATGGTGGTAATTTTACCTACTAGTTACTGAGTATAGTGTTGGATACTCTGCTGGGTACTTTACACATATTTCAAGTTCTCACAATAAATCTGTAGTGGTTCCTCACCTCTATTTGATAGTCTCAGGCCCAGAAGGGAATAAGACAGAGCTCTGCCTCCCATCTAGGCAGGCTGACCCCAGAGTCCACACTCTTTGTCCTGCAGCATCCATGTCCAGGGTCTTGTGGGGAGCAGCTGGCTAAGGCAAGCTTCTACCAGAAGGGGGTGATTTGATCCCAAGTCCCATTCTGGGCTCACAGGGGCAGTAAGGACCTGCCTGGCAGGAAGGGTAGGGGCAATGGGGTTATCCTAAGGGCCCATTTGGGCCTGCCTCCTCAATATATTTCCTTTCTAGGTTGAAGACAATGAGAAGTTCAAGACGATAGTAGAGTTTGAGTGCCGGGGCCTAGAACCAGTTGATTTCCAGCCCCAGGTGTGTGTCTTCCTGGGAAACCTGTATCTTTGGGGAGGGCATATAGGAGGTAATAGCAGAACTTGGCTTCCTACAGAGACCGTGAACTAGGAATTCTCCTTTGTAAGAACTATTATTATTATTTAAGTGCTACTATATGTTGGGCACCATGCTGGTCAGTTTTACATGTGTATCTTATTTAACCCTCCCAGTCACCCTGTGCAGTTATCCGTACTGTTTTTCAGTCAAGGAAAGAATTTCAAAGTTTTGCAGCTTGCCCAGGGTGACACAGTTAGAAAGCAGGGGAGCTGTAATTTGAATGCAGGTCTGACTCCAGAGTCAGTGCTCATCCCACTTTACTGGAGCGGCATTTTCACCTCACAAGTCTGTGAGATAGGCAGAAGAGAGAATATTACCATCCCCGTTTCATAAATATGAAAACCAAGTTCCAGAGAGGGAAGCGACATGTCCAGCTGGCGGATGCTTAGCAAAAGGCTGCAGCTAAGTGTACTTGGGACCATTTGGGTGCTCTGAGCCTTTATAGCTTCAACTGTCTTTCAGACAGTCTGGTAGTGGAAGGGTTTACCCTGCAGCTCCTGCCTTCTGATCTAAGGCTGTAATTGGAGGAACCACTCTGGTCCCAGGCAGCTGCCAGGCCCTGGAAGCTCAGTAGTTATTCTAGAACAGCTGCCAACACTGCATCTCTGTGCTCCCTTCCCAACTGTTGTGAGAAAAGCCAGTTCGCTGGTCAGGCTCCTTCCCCTCAGACTCACTGCCTTCCTGTCCCTTGCAGGCTGGGTTTGCTGCTGAGGGTGTAGAATCGAGGACCATCTTCAGTGACATTAATCTGCAGGAGAAGGTACGGGACTTGGGGGCCTCGCAGGGTGCTGTAGGGCACGTGGTGGAAATTATCTTTTATGGTGAACAAGACTCATCAATGGAAAGATGACTGCACATCTCTGTGCGTTTTGTTGTTGGTTTTGGTGTATAAGATGGCCCCAAGGGTAACGCTGAAGTTCCACCAAGTGTTCCACTTGCATGAGGGCTGGGATGTGCCTGCTAGAGAAAGTATGTAATAGATAAGCTTTGTTCAGGCATGAGTTATAATGCTGTTGGCTGTGAGTTCAATTTTAATGAATCAACAATAGTATATTAAAAAGGTGTTTTTAAACAGAATCATACATGAAACAAGGTTATGTATTGATTGGTTGAAAACAGTGTTGTGATCAGATGTAAACTCCCATGAGTTTAACCCTGTGTTTTTCCTGGGAGCATTAGTTCATTATTCACTAAGTCAGCATTGTGGTGACTTTGTAGAACGTAACTACCACAAACAATGAGCCTTGACTGTATCACTGGACATAGTAATGCCTTGCAGATAAGGAAACCTTGTGTTCAGGCCTCGAAGGAAGGACAAAACTTCATTCAATTTGTACAGCACATAACAACAGTAACTAGAAGTTATTGAGCTTTAACGTGTATCCGGCACTATACTAAGTACTTTTACATGTGTTACCTCATTTGATTCTTTCAACATGAAGTGTATTGTCCCTTTTTTAAAAAAATAGAGAATAGCTCTGAGGATCAGAATGGTTAAGTGACTTGCCAAAATCACAAAGCTAGAAGAGCTGGAATTCAGGCCTGAACAGCCTGGCTCTGTTCTAGGTGATACGTGTTCATGAACGGCTGGGTCAGAGCCTGAACTGGGCCTTGTAAATTGCGGTTCCCCACTCCACACTGTCCTAGGCTGCCTCGTGAGGCTAACGCTGCCATTTTCCCCCACAGGACTGGACTGACTATGACGAAAAGGCCCAGGAGTCTGTGGGAATTTACGAGGTCACCCACCAGTTTGTGAAGTGCTGAGCCCTCTTCCTGCACACTTGCCTCTAAGAACTGAGAAGGGGCAACCAAGCAGCAGAGCCCACTGAAGCTGGTCCCTGCATCCCTTGTCTCCTGGCAGCTGTCCAAGCCCTCACAGTCTGCATGCTGGGCTGTCACAGCTTCCCAGGCCCCACCAATAAAGCCCGTTTGTGCTGTACTCATGCACTGAGGTAGTCAGGTAGCAGCCACTCCCCCCACAAAAAAGAATCCCTATTAGAGGTCTTATACTGTTTCCTGACACCTTCCCACAATATGGAATCTTACACCTGATGCTTTGCAAACTATGCAGGAGCACAGCTTCTAAGGGCTCTCTAGCTCATGAGGAGTGGGCACATCAACCCAGAAAACCAGAGGTGTCAAGGCCAATGGTATGCAATGCAGCTGAGCCTATAGCATGACACCATGAGCCAATAATCCTGAGCCAAAACACTGCATTGATTAGCGTGGCTCTTAAGTAAATGCAGGCATCTCTGTTAGCTGGTGTCACTTCATATTCTAGGGATAAAAGGGACTGTAGAGGTCAGCCATCCAGTCCTGGCAAGATTCTGCTCTCACATCCTGGCCAGGTGGTCATTAGGTCTCGGCTCACCTGCTGTGATGGGGCCTTCCCCCCCACACGGAAGTCAGTATGAAAGTTCTTATATTCAGTCAGCATCTATGCCCCGGGTAGCTCCTGGTCCTGTTTTGTCCCCGCTGTGGTCACCCTTCTGTGTGCTGTCCCCCAGGCAGCCCTGTGGAGGTATGAAGAGCCCCTACCCAGTGGACACAGCTGTTTAATGCAGTTAGGTCCACGAGGCATACTCATGCCTTCCCACCAGTGAGCCATTTGGAAAACTTGTTACAAGAGACCTTATTTATCCAGCGTTCTGCTGGAGCCAGGAATTCTTTGGAAGTGAAATATCCTCATTTTCTGAATGGCCCACTGGGGATGGGTCTGCCCACTCCCAGGCAGGTTGTGGGGCACCAGGAAGGGGGATCCTCCAATTTAAGGTAAAGGTGGCCGTATCCAAGAGGTGAGGAGGTGCCGACCTTGTCCCCTCCCCAGTCTGGCAGCTACTTGTTTCCTCTAGGTCGAATATTCCTGGCTCCCTCTGGGCCTCTTTTTTGCACCTGACAACAGCATTTCTTCAGCCCTCGCTCAGCCAGCAGGCCTTCTAGCCCCCTACCCACTAGGTCCAGTCCACTGCCCAGCCTGAGAGCAAGTGAGTGGAAGTAATGGGCCGGGTCAGCAGCCGTTCCAGTTCTCAGACTCTACCAGCCAGTGTGTTAAGTTCATAAAGACAAACACTAAGAGGATCAATAGCTTTTGTTTATACTTTAAATTGCTTTCTCATCTTTCAGGAGGTAAAAGAATCAAAAAAAAATCATTAATTAAAAGGGAAAAATAAAGTAGATTATGTCAGTAGATGCAACAATTAAATTTTATTTCTGCTTCAACAATAAATACACCTGAGTTATTTTTCCAAATCCTACCCTCCTGATCAAATGCCCTTAAAAATTGAAATCTCACATTATCTTTCATTGTGATCTAATTGCACTTGGAAATTACATGTTTAGTTTTAAAACCCTTACTTTAAAGCTCAGGCTTCACATTGGCCGCAGAGGTACCTCATGATTAGTTCCAATAGTCACAGAATAGCACCTATTGGCTACATAGGCCTCAATTTTCATGTAGATGAAGCAATGGAGGCTTTTAGCCCGCCCAGAAGCTAAGTTTTGATGGACTTGCCTTCCATGGCATCAAACATGTCTTCCAAGGCTTTCTGCACACATTGGAGAAACTCCCGGGCGTTGCGGCCTGTGTAGGAGGAGACGTTGCAGCCTATCCAGTTGTCATGAACGGCATACCCAACACCAAAGCCATCAGGGACCACCGGGGCAAAGCCACCAATGTTCACTGCTGGGCTGGTCAGTGTGCTGGTGGACAGGATGTTGTGGTTTATCTGCCCATATGCAGGGTCCAGATACAGCTCAGGCAGGGCAATCCCTTTGGCTGCTGTCAGGTACCGCAGTGCAAATAAGTGTCGGTCAAAACCCTGGCCTGTGAGAGACAAAACAAAAAACCAGAGTCAAAATCGCAGAACTGAAAGAACCTCAGTAAACCTTCCCACCATGTAGGAATCCCCTTCACAACATCCTTGAGAGTGGAAGAGGGTCGTCTACCTCTGCATGTACACCTCCAGCTCACTAGCCTCTAGAGCAGTTCATTCTAGAATGTTTTCTTAAGAAAAAACTCAACAGCTGAGTCAAAAATGAGCCTAAAATAAAAGTATGATTTTACAAAGTCTGAAACTAAGTCAATTTAGTCAAGAAAAGTACATGAGAGCTCTGGACTCAAAAACTAAGATAAAAGCCACAGTCCAAGTCAAGTGTCAAAGACAAAGTTCTCATCGCATCTTTACTGTTAATTTGCTATGTAAGCTTGGGCCAGCGGCCTCAGTTGCCTTCCTATAAAATGGGGAAGGATGAAACCAGAATGTCGTGGAGGTCCCTTTTAGTTCCAGGACTTTTTCTGCATGAGAGGATTGGATTATGTGATCCTCCAGGTCCTTTCCAGGTCTCAATTTTTGCCACAACGAGGCAAAGCAGACAGACACTTAGATTTGGGAAAAGCTAAGGTGACCTACTTACAGGGAGCCGACACACTACACCTGAAGTGAAGTAAGAGGGCCTGTGGGCTTAGAAATCCTAAATTGTCACACTGAGTCTAATGACTAATAAATAATAGAATCATGTGTCACAGCTGAAAGTGATCTTCATTGAGGATAACATTAGATGTATTTCCCCATCCCTGCTTAGGAGAACATTCTGATCCCTAGTGGCTCGCCTGGCTAGTCAGACTATTAGGGTAGAAAAAATAATCATGTGGTAGCTAGCAGATGGCTACAATCTAGTGAAGAGGTAGAAATCAGATGTGGGGCAGAATATTGTGGAGGCCTACCCCAGTGCGGAGGACAACAAGACCCGAGGGCATGCGCCCCGTCTCACCCATGGCCGCTTCTTTGGTCAGCTGCCCGTGGTATCTGGAGCACTCGGCCATCATCTGCTTAAGCTCTCCAGCACTGTGCTTGGAAGGTTCCCTGACAAAGGCCTCGGAGCACCTCTTTGTGAAGATGGAGGCAGGGCGGATGGTCTCCGTGCGGCCGTGCTTGAACGCTGCAGTGCTGCAGGACTCGTAGGTGGCCACCGTCTGCCCATATTGCCGCAGAAAGGCCATCTGGAAGGCCAGCTGAGCCACCGAGTCAGGGCTCAGCTTCTGCTTCTTCAAGAATTCTTTGCCTCCTCTCTGAAACTGGATGCAGTCAATGGTGAGGGTTTTCATGGTGGCATCAAACTTTTCCTTAGCAGCAATGATGCCAGTCTTTAAGGCATCGTTCAGCTTGAAGCTGAGCTTCTGCACAGCAGCAGAAGAGTCAGTGCTGGCCGGCTGGCTCTGTGGAGTGATGGCGGGGGCCTGAGTGCTGTCTTTAAACACCTCATTGAAAAACCTGAGCACTGCAACCCCATCGCCCCAAGCATGCTCAAAATGGACAGCGGCAGTGCCGTCCTTGGCTATAATGAGGTTAAAGGATTTATCGTACCAGCGGTTTGTGCCGTCACCGTGCAGCATGGTGTGGGACAAGTGGATAAGGTCCTTAATGGGGAAGTCATCTAGGCAGAGACAGAACACAGCGGAGTCCACTTTCCTCAGGGTCTCCTCGTTGCCAGCACTCACCAGCTTCTGCCTGAGCTCTGCCCAGATATCTCGGTTCTCACTGGGCAGATATGCCAGTGGAAACTCGGGGGCAGGGCTATTGTCTGAGAGAATGTACTTCAGATGAGCCTGGATTTCAGAGGCGCTCACAATGTTCCCATTTTGATCCAGGACATCAAAGACATAGAAATGTCCTTTTCTTAGGACCAGGAGGTGTCTGGCCTTGTCATCAGTGAAGAGTTCATCCCGCCTGGGTCTGGGTAAACGAGTTGAATTGAAAAGCCGAAAATACTGGGACATATCCAGTGGATATGCATTGACCAAGTAGGCACCATACCAAGACAGAGAGGAAGGCACAAAGCGTATGAGTTTCTTGAAGGTATCAGTGTCACTCTTGGCAGGGTTCAAGTGGAACACTTCTGGTTCCAAAAGGCCATCCCGGAGTGTCTTCAGAAACCGGATGGCAGAAACCGTCATGTTGGTCGCCCGGGTGAGCTGGTCATTATACTCAGACTTTGGGTCAGGGTTGAATGACATAAATGGATTAAAGTTCAAGACAATGGGGTCTCGAGCAGTTAAGTACATATCAAACCAGGGGCCTAAAACATAAAAATAAAAACATAAAAAGGTAATGCAGTCCCTAAAAATAAAACTTGAGAAAGAAAAAAAATAAGTCAAACATATGCAGAAGAAATGACATCACCTCCAGAGGGAGGAATTTCCAGATTATTTTTTTGTTCTGCAATAATTCATGTTGTATAAACAGGATCATACACTATTTGGTCTTTTACATCTGGCTTCTATTACTTACAATAATGTTCCTGAGGTTCATCAATGTTGTAACATGTGGCAGTTCTGCATTTCTTTTTATTACTGAATAATGTCCCATTATATAGATATAGCACATTTGTCATCAGTTGATGGACATTTGTGTTGTTTCCACTTTTTGGTTATTATGAATTCTCTTGGGGATATAAACTAGGAGTAGAATTGCTGGTCATGTGTTAAACCTTTTTTAAAAAAATATATTTTATTGATTTTTTACAGAGGAAGGGAGAAGGATAGAGAGTTAGAAACATCGATCAGCTGCCTCCCGCACAATCCCCACTGGGTATGTGCCCGCAACCAAGGTACATGCCCCTGACCAGAATCAAACCTGGGACCCTTGAGTCCGCAGGCCGACGCTTTATCCACTGAGCCAAACCAGTCAGGGCTGTGTTAAACCTTTTGAGGAACTGCTACAGTCTTTTCCAAAGTACCTGCACCATTACCACCAGCAGTATATGAGGGTTCCAATTTCTCCACATCCTTGGCAACATTTATTGTTTGTCTTTTTGATTGGAGCCAGTCTGGTGGGTAACCATTATCGTGATTTTGAGTTGCATTTCCCTAATGTCTATTAATTGCCTTTTCTTCCTCATTCTCTTTCCTTTCTTGATTCTTAAAGGAATAAAATACAATAACACCTCACTTGCATTCATACTGGAAGAGAATAGTTGTTAATTCCCATACCCTCTCCTTAAGTTTCCCTTGCTTTGTTTCTCTTCAGGGACAACATTCACATTTGACTATCTCCCTAATACGGGGGAAAGTCTTCACCATCATTCTGTGTACTGTGTTCATTTATGCATTTCCTCTTTTAGGAAATGCTCGAAAAGCAACTAGAAGTAACAATGAGTGTATGTGCCCACTCAAACTAGCTCTCTGCATTCCAATGGATGTTTTGCTTGTGAAAATTCCAAAAGCATTATTTTATCAAGAAATGTGTCTTCAAGGGAAACTCCTGCCAGTATTAGCAAGCATGGGTAAACTCTACTAACAAGGACCATTTTCCATTGGAAGAAATAATTTCCACATGTAAAGCACTGGGGAAAGGATTAATAAACACATATTTATCTCTTATTCATTTGTTGGTCCATTTATTCCATTTCATTCCTTGAGAATAAGTGTGGAGAATCAGGCCCTGGTCCAGGGATATAGAGAAGAACAGGACATGGACTTTGATTTAGAAGAACTATGGTGAAAGAGACAAACAGAATAAAAACATAATGCAATGCACTAAAATGGTAAGGGAAAAGACATACTGGGGGGTGAGGATATATTTGATGGGAAAAGACATGAATTTATGCCTCTTATCTCTTCAGTAAAATAATTTTAAAGAGACATAAACCAATAAGGCAAAGAAAATAAAAAAGAGCAAATATTAGAAGTTGATGCCCTAGCCAGTTTGGCTCAGTGGATAGAGTGTCAGCCTGCAGACTGAAGGGTCCCAGGTTCGATTCCAGTCAAGAGCACAGGCCTGGTTTGTGGGCTTCATCCCTAGTGGGGGGCAGGGTGTACAGGAGGCAGCCCATCAATGATTCTCTCTCATCATTGATGTTTCTATCTCTCTCTCTCTCTCCCTCTCTGAAATCATTAAAGGTATTTTTTAAAAAGATGAAAAGCATTTAGGCAACTAGTAATAACTAAAGCAGTGTCAAGAAAGCCAACACTAAGTTGAGAGCAGAGAAAGCCAAGAAACAATATTTACAAAGCAGAACCCCTACAGCAAGCATGTCAAACTCAAAGGCTAACACGGGCCAAGTAAACGAGGCATGCAGTCCCCGGACAGTGAGTTTGACATGCTTGCCCTAGAGGGCTCAGGAATTAGCAGCCTAGACATATCTGATTGAAAAACTATTTAATTAGACCCACACATAGGACGCCCAGATATTCTCTGGCAAAAGTTAAATTGTGGGATATAGATCTGTGGAGATCTCAAGCCTTTTCCTTTATCCCACTTCTACAACACTAGTGACCAGGAAAATACCTTTTGGCAGTTTTCTGGAAAAGCCTTCCCTGGGAGCCTAAAACACAAACACTAACATTAGGGACACTCAAGGAAATGATTTAGCCAGATCACATACGATGAAGCTGTGACAAGCCCCACCCCCACCCTCAGAGCTCCCAATAGCTTGTTAATATTTCATCCATATCCAAGACAACAGAGAAGGATAGAAAGCATCTGAAAAAAGAGGGCAAGACAAACAGGAGAAAAGCAACTTGGAAACAGACTATGAAGATGAAAACTTAAAAAAAAATTCCCAGATAAACTATTAAGCACATGGAAAGCTAAACATAAGAAAGTATAAAATAATTAACTTCAGAGAAAACAAAAAGTTTATCCGGGAAAGAAAATAAACAATCCCAATGTGCTACACAACTCACCTGACAATAGCAATTACATGATCCTAATAGTGTAAATACTAAGCTAAGTTTTGTGCAGTGGCAATATCGTAGCCAATGAGGTTTATCTGAGGCACAATTATTGCTATGCTGTGCACTATACTGTGAAAATGAGGGGAAAGGAAATGGGTGTGTACACTCTCATGTGTGGTAGGGATATAAGAGACTGATCAATTCTAATCTTCTATAGTGAGATGTCAATAGACAATGCCTAAATCAAAAGAAGTTAAATTGCGGTAATATATAATTTAGAGAATAACGATACATAGTTCAAAAGAATCAGAGAGCAGCTGAAAGTAAGAAGTGGGAAATTAGGGGTCAGGAAATCGCTGTTTTTCCTAATAAGCCGTGTAGAACTATTTGATTTTTTAAATTATGTGCATGTATATATAACCTTATAAAAAAATATAAACTAAATTAAACGAAGTGTTGTGAAACAGAGGTGGAAGCAACAAACTCTGAATGGAAAAAGGAGAAGGACAGAAAGGTTTCATACCAAAAAATCATCCTACCTGGTTCTT